CTGAGGATTCTGGGAACTCCTGCCTTTGCTCCTTGGAGGTGGGAGAGGCGCTCTCTCTCTCTCTCTCTCTCTCTCTCTCTCTCTCTCTCTCTCTCGTTCTCGCTCTGCTCACTCCCCACAAGACATCCCTGCAGAGAATACACATGGAGAGAGGCTGATGGCACCAGATCTCTGGAGCTGGATGAGCCCACGTGGAGACTCCTGCCAGCACTGAGATGCTTACAATGCCACTGGATCCACAGACTTCCCATCCACTGGCCTGTGATCTTCCGGCATCCGGTGTCATTGCATGTGTTTCGTGAGTCTGAAGAGGACTTTATAGATGGGTATCGGACATATGGACTTGATCTGAACTGGGCTGGGATGTTTTTCAATGTTCAACTGCTCTTGTCTATAAAGCTCTTACTTATATACACGAGTGTCCATGGATTTGTTTCTCTGGTCTACCCGGACTCACACAGGACTGAAGACAATTAAATCTGAGACTAACAAATAGACAACCCGGCACTTCTTAGCCCTACACACTATAGTCAGCAGTCCCCCATCTCTCTCTCCTCACCCCTCCTAGTCTGCCTTCCCTGGACCATCTGCCTCCTCCCCATCCTCATTACCATACCCAGGGCCAAGCCAAGCCAAAGGAATGGGTATGGCCTGCCCTATCATCCAAGGTGTCCGGGAAGGAAGGCAAGCAGTTACATAATGACAGATTCTGAGGAGTCCACCTCCACCCAGCTGCCCTGCAACTGTGCTGCCGGCATGCTCCGGCTCCCTGTCAGCTGGGCCAGCTTGAAGTCCCCGTCACCCCCATTCTTCCCACCGTCTCCCCACATGTTCGTCAACTCTGTCAGCAGGAACGGGAAAGCCAGGCTGGGCAAAGGCGCCTGAGAAAACATACACACCAACAACAGGGGTGGAATCACTGTTTCCACATGAACTCAAAGCACTTCCATAACCACGCTCCGGGGACGTCAACCGCCAAGTGCAACGAATGAACAATGGATGTTACAGATTGATGGCAGACTGAAAACAACCTGCTCGCTCTATGTTTTCGTCATGCGACACGTCAGTGCCAGTCAGGAAGAGAATGAATGCTTGGTGGACCAAACCTTTAAATTTTCAAAAGCCCATCATTGTTCAAACATCCTTTAACAATAAGATCCGGCTGTCCCTTGCATGTGTCAGAGAGACCATTTCACAGTGTTTCTGAGAGTCAGAATTTATAAACGGAAACTTGGCAAATAATGCCATCGCCTAAGATGCAGGCAGCTGCCGTGCCTGACATTGCCTCGCCAGGAAATAACCAGCCGTGACCAAAGGCTGAAAAGGAACCACGGGGTCACCTGGCAGTTGGAGTTCGTGAAAAAGTTGCGGGGCGTTCCAGCGAGGAAATGCCTGAGTCTTGAAAAAGGCCTTCTCTATTTGACGGGGTCAGGAAGGGACCCCCAGTTTAACAGGAGCTTCGCGTCCAAACCGAATACGAAAATACACCACCTGTCCTGACAGTAAATGCGGGCACAGGTTCTAGAGACTACCCCAGAAGTCACTTCCACCCCTCAGGAAAAACAAAGAACAAAA